TGCTGCTGGGCCGGCTTCTCCCTGCCCGGGGAGGCGGCCTCGCGAGTGCCAGCTCGGCTCTCTTCCCCGTCGGGCTCCGGGGCGGGCTGTGTGGCCGCCACCCGGGTAAGGCGCTGCCCCCGGCCGGGAACTAGCCGCTGCGCAAACTGCAGGCATCTTTCCCCTCCCTCCGGCTCTGATGGCAGGCAGGACAGCAGCTGGGGTGGCCGTAACTTGGAGGCTTGGGAGGGCCTGGGGAGAGCTGCGGGGGGGGGAGGGGGGCCGTAACTGGGGGGCTTGGGGGGGCCGGGGGAGAGCGGGGGGGGGGGGGGGAGGATCGTTCGTGAGCGCCCCCCCCAACACCCGTCGCGTCTAGCAGGCACAGTTTCAGTGCACTAACCTTTCTCTCTTCTGTGTGTGTGCCTGCGTGCGTTCACAGACAGGCAGGCAGGCAGGCAGGCGGGCGGGTAGAAAAACAGCCACGTGCGTGTAGGCTGTGCAGCTCTCCCGCGCCTCCAATACTTTACAACTGAGGGCTGCTGGGAGCGGAAGGAGCTGGGGCCCGGGGGTGGAGCTTAGCCTGGAAGCAAGCCCCCGCCCCCTGACTTCCCTCCCTCCCAGTCATCCGGTGAACTCAGTCAGCAAAGCAAAGCAGGATTACGAAAAACCCTCCACTTTCAAAGGTGGGGGAGGCAGCTGGGTCTCGGGAGCGAGCAAGGCTGGCTCGAGGAACCGGTTGCCCGGGGGGGGGCTTAGACCCTTGTTAGAAATTTCGGTGGGGGCTGACGACCCCCCGCCCCCCCGCAGATTATGCCGGTGGCACTGTGTGAATCATTGCCAAGTGGCAGAAGATTCCAGGGAGCAACTCTAAGCATGCTCACTACTTAACGGATGGTTTCTACATGAAAGCTGAGAGTTGCACCTGGTCTTAGATTAGCACTGGATGCATGGGGTACTATTTTTAAGGTTCAAGAGGAAAGCAAAACTGAGCAGCTATCATGTTAGTCAGCCACGTCACAAGCCAGTATGTGTAATGAAGGAGTACCCACTGTCCCACTACATTCAAGGGGGAAAAAAATTATATGTGAAGGGCTAGGGAGGGCTTTGAGCCAACATTAGCAGCTGCTTGCTCTGCCATAGAAATGGCTGGTTTGTACTTTGGGGAGGGTCTGTGGCTCAGTGGAATGCAGACTGCATGCAGAAGTTCCCGGGTTCAGTCTTGGCACCTCCAGTTAAAAGGACCAGGCAGGAGGTGATGTGAAATCTGCTTACATTCTGAGTAGAGAACACTGGCCTTGATGGACTGATGATCTAATTCCATATAAGGCATGTTCATATATATTCATATATGTTCATATATATATATTCCTAGAAGGCTCATGCTCTGCTTCCTGTGTTTACTCCTCACAGAACAACAAGTTGGAGAAGATTCCCAAAGGAGCCTTCACTGAACTCTCAGGACTTCGAGAACTATATCTGCAGAATAACAAATTAACAAATGAGGGAATGGACAATGAAACCTTCTGGTGAGCACATAGAGTAGGTCTTCTTTAGTAGATGTTAAAGTCAGTGATGTGCACTGGGAATTTAACTAATCAACTAACGAATCAAAAAAGCAATTGTAAAACCATTACTATAACTAATCCCTACCTGGCCTGCAGCAGCAGTCCTGGCTCTTGGTATTGGTATATAAACTCAGGGCACAGCAACAACATACAATAAATACAAAAAGATTGCTGCGAAAGTTCACTGATTGTCTGGAGTGACTGTTTCCTATGATATTATCTTTATTATTATATTGATAGGAAGTTTGATAAAGAATATATCTCGAAACGAACGCAGATACACTCGAGAAGTGTTCGTCCTGTTCCTGTGCTGTGCATCTTGTTGGCACCTGTTGGAAACAAGAATTAAATAACATCATGAAAAGTTGAATTTTCTACTGAACATCTTTTGTATATTTCAGTGAACTTTCGCAGCAATCTTTTTGTATTTATTCTTGGTATTGGTAAGCAGGGAGAAGAGGATAAGCAGGGAGTAACAAAAATTGAATAAATAACAAAACAAATAGCTAACAAAGAAAAATAACAAGAATAATGTTTTAAAAAATGAGAAAGCAAGGTAGATCCCTATTACTGCTTGTGCATTATTCTTTGGTCCTGCAATAAAAGAACATAAGACCATAACAAGAGCACTGCTGGATCAGACCAATGGTTCATCTCATCCAGCATCCTATTTTCCCACAGCAGCTGACCAGATGCCCTGGAAATTGCACAGAAGGAGCACAGAGGCAAAAGCACCTGTCTGCTGCTCCCCCACCCAACAAATGACATTCAGAGAGTTACTACATTTGAACATGTAGGTCAGATGAAGCTGTAATGACTAATAGCTATTTGATGAACCCATGAATTTGTCTAATCCTCCCTTTAAAATCCAAACTACTGACCATCAACATATCCCATGGCAGCAAATTCCATAAATTAATTATGCATTGTGCAAATGGATACTTCCTTTTGTATGTCATGAAATTACTGCCCATTATTTTCATTAGGTGTCCCTGAAATCTAGTATTTCAGGAGATAAAGAAAAAGTTATCTCTATCCACTTTCTCCAGATAGCACATAATTTTATTAAAAAATTTCTAAATTGAAAAGCCCCTAATCCAGACCTTTGATAGTTTTCTGCACTTTCCCCAGTTCTTCAATATTGGGGTGGGGGGGTGGGAGTGGAGAAACCAGAAACCACTGACAATTTTGTTTCCATTGCCTTTCCTAGTAATCCCTATCATAAGCTTTGTTTTTTTCTACAACTGTTGCTGCACACTGATTTGTCATTTTCTTTGGACTACCTACTATGACCCCAAGATCTCTTTCCTGATCAGTCACTATCAGTTTGGACCCCTTTTACAAATAAAGTTAGGGGTTTTTTGCCCAGATGTGCATCATTTAACATCTGCTTATGCTGAAACTCAGCAATGTTGTTACGTACTACATTTTGAGAGACCCTTTTCAGAGTGTTTCACAAAATGCTGTGGTCTCACCATTCTGAAAAATTTGGTGGGATCTCAAAACATGGCTACCTCACTGCTCACACCTAACCCCAGATCATTTATGAATAAATTAAATATAATCTGTGCCAGTACAGTTTGGTGTAGTGGTTAAGTGTGTGGACGCTAATCTGGGAGAACTGGGTTTGATTCCCCGCTCCTCCACTTGCACCTGCTGGATGACCTTGGGCAAGCCATAGTTCTGTCAGAGCTGTTCTCTCAAGGACAGTTCCAGAAAGAGCTCTCTCAGCCCCACCTACCTCACAGGGTGTCTGTTGTGGGGAGGGGAAGGAGTTTGTAAGCCACCCTGAGACTCCAAGTGAAGGGCGGGGTATAAATCCAATCTCCTCCTCCTCCACATCTTCTTCTCCTCCTCCTCCTCCTCCTTCTTCTCCTCCTCCTCCTTCTGATTTGTACGGTTGGGACAACACTGCTTTTTCTCTCTCCATTGTGAGACCATCCAGGTATTCTTCCTACCTTCTCCATCCTATTGTTTAACCAGTTACCACTTATCCCATTAATGTTAAATTTACTCTTAAATGTTAAATTTACTCTTAATGTTAAATTCTCTCTTAGGTGAGAGAATTGATCAAAACCCTTTTTGAAATCCAAGTATATAATGTCTTCTGGCTTGCTGATCATATAGATAGGAGGCCAAGATGCTCATGCCTGCTCTCCCTGTCCATGCCTTCAGTCAACACTCAGAGGGGTCTTGTATACAGGGCTACAATGACTTGTTAGTTTTTATTTATATTTATTTAGGCTTATATTCTGCCCTACCCCACAAGTGAGCTCAGGGCGGTCACAACATATAAAATATAGTAATTACTAAAACATATAATCTAAAACCAGATTTAAAACAGTACAAAAGCAAGATGGCAGCTTAATAAATAACTTCAGGTCATCCATAATGCCTTCTGCAAGATGTTAGTCTTGGCACTGGGGCCGGTGCTGTGGACAGGGGAAGCCAAGGTGGTTGGATGTCTGCCGCCTCAACCGAAGGTGGAACAGCTCCATTTTACAGGCCCTGCAAAACTGTAACAAGTCCCACAGGGCCCTGATCGCAACTGGGATCATGTTCCACCAGGCCAGGGCCAGGGCAGAGAAAGTCCTGGCCCTGGTTGAGGCTAAGCGGATGTCTTTCAGGACAGGGACTACCAGGAGATGTTGATCTGCAGAGCACAAGACACTCCAAGGCACATACGGGGAGAGACAGTCCCATAGGTATGCTGGTCCCTGGCCACATAGGGCCTCGAAGGTTGTTACCATAACCTTGAACTAGATCTGGTACTTGATTGGCAGCCAGTGTAGTTGGCATAGCACTGGCTGAATGTGCGCCCGCACAGACATTGCCCAGCAAGCATGTTGCCACATTCTGCACTAGCTGCAGTTTCCAAATCAGGTTCAAGGGCAGCCCTGCATAGAGCGAGGTACAGTAATCCAGCCTTAATCCAGGTGTCTCCTGAGGTCATCTGCAAAGGCAACCAGTGTGGTCTCCATCCCATGGCCAGGGTGGAAAGAAGACCTGGAGTATAGGTAACAGGTATAGGATTTAATCGAACTAGCTAGGATGGATGCAGATGCATATCCTACATCCATGGTGCCAAAGATGGAGACCATGCTCCTTCTTTGTGTGTGTGCATGCACATGCATGTGTGTGTGTGAGAGAGAGAGAGAGATGTTAAACCAGAAGAAAGGAAATCTTGTCCCTAGGAACAGCATTCTATTTCAAAGGGATAGTATCAGATAGCAGGAAGGAAAGCGTGCTCTATGTGTCCTGACCTCCCTATCCAAATCTATGGTGCCATCTCTGAAGTTTGAGGCAGGATACAGTCCTGCACTTCCAACAATCACAACAAAATGTTCAGACATTAATCTGAACAACTGTATATGTAAAAGCATAAACAAGTGTGTAGAAAGTAACGTACAAAAATAATAGGGAAATGCCTATACTGAGGCAGCCTATCAAGCTCACAACTGTCAAGATCTCAAGTGGGAATCTTTCCAAACTGTCTATGTGAGGTTTTTCAGCTGGAGATGGCAGGGACTGAACATGGGATATTAAACAGGCAAACAACAGTGTTGTATTTACCTCAGAGCTCTCCTCTGCCTCCTCCCGCCTTCTCTTCATTTTTGATTTCTGAGCATTGTGGACAAGGAAAATAGATGCAGAGTCTAGTCTGCCATTTTTTAAAACAGCAGTTGTAACTGAGAACATTCCTTTTCTGTTTTTCTAAGGAAACTTTCAAGCCTTGAGTACCTGGATTTGTCCAGCAATAATCTTTCCCTCATCCCAAGTGGCCTACCTCGAAACATTGTCCTTCTCCACTTAGAGAAGAATGCAATCAAAACAATTGGCAAGGATGTCTTGACCCAAATTAAGAATATGGAATACTTACTGCTTCACAATAACAAACTGAAGGCCAGTGGGATTGATCCACTGGCTTTTCATGGCCTGAAGAAGTTGCACACTGTCCACTTGTACAACAATCAGCTGGACAGGATTCCAAGTGGGCTGCCCAGACGAGTGAAAACTCTGATGCTTCTTCACAATCAGATCTCAGAAATTAACAGGAATGATTTTGCTTACACATATTTTATGGAGGACCTAAACCTGAGTTATAATAAAATAACCAGCTCAAAGATTCATCGGGAGGCCTTCCGCAAGCTGAGGCTGCTTAAGTCCTTAGATCTTTCAGGCAATAACCTGCACACCTTGCCTTATGGCTTCCCAAAGAACCTGCACAGCCTTAAGCTGAAAGTAAATGAGATCAGCTCCATTCCTAGGGGGACTCTGTCTGGAATGTCAAAGCTACAGGAGCTCTACCTCAGCAACAACAAGCTAAAAGTCAGTTCGGTTCACAGTGAATCATGGAGGGACCTCACCAGTCTCAAGGTACAAAAACATCTATAATTAAAATTATATCCATGACATGGTGCGATTCTTTCACTATAGATGTAGCCAGGGGGGAAATATCCCACCATATTTCATAGCAAGGAAATCCAAGTTCTGCCATTAGATCAGAGTCTGCAGAGTAAAGAATTATGCATGGTATGAAGAACTGGATGTGAAATCTTGTGTTATTTTGGCATAGACTTTTTAAAAATTAGAGCAAAATTTATGGACATTAGGTAGGTAAAGGTTTTCCTTGCTCGAAAGCCAGTCGAATCCAACTTTAGGGATGCGGTGCTCATCTTTGTTTCCAAGCTGAAGAGCCAGTGCTGTCCAAAGATGTTTCCGTGGTCATGTGGCCAGCATGACTAAACGCCAAGGCGCACGGAACACTGTTACCTTCCCACCGAAGTGGGAGTACTTCTCAAATTTTGCATGTTAAGTTTTGAACTGTTTTGGGCCAATGTGTAGCTTACAGTTGGAATTATAGACCTTTAGGTCAGAGAGAGCCCCATTCATTCATCTTGGACAAGACATAATAAATTCTGAATATGCCAGGAGATTACACACAGATTACTGGCATCAGTGTGGAAAGCTTCTTTATTTGATTTAATATTAGTTATTCACCCAGGTGAAGTTCATGGATGTACAACAAGCAAATAACAGTGTCACTGTCAAAACCTCAGAATTGTGCTGAGGTTTTCATAAAAAATTAATTACAATATGCTTTGAAATTTTAAACTGATGCTTATTTTTATGCCGTTTTACAGTAACAGTTCAATCCAGTGCAGAGTTACTCCAGTCTAAGCCCATTGGAGTAACTCTGCATAGGATTGTGTTATAAAATGTCCCCCCCCCGCCCAAGTGCTGAAAGAATATTACATTTAGATTCCTTAATACTAAAATTCCATTAAATTTGCATTAAAGAACCATATGTACAAAACAATAACATTTCGAAAGGTATTTTGGTTTTGCTTGGGGAACTGTACTGTATTTTCATCTACAGCCTCCTTGAAAACCCATTTGAAGGTGCTGATGTAGACTTAGAGATCCATTCTGTTGAACGTAGATCTGAAAGCAAGGAAGCAGGAACATCAGGGGAAACAGCTCAGAGACAATAAACCGTATTAATGCATAGAACATGCATTTTATCTGTCAAAGTGATCTGCAGCATTTAGCTATTAATCTTAAAAGTTCAGAAGACTGCATTCACAGCAGCCCTTTTATTTACTTAGACCAGAGGTTCCCATACTTATTTGGCTTACTGCCCCCTTTTCAGAAAAAAAAAATTGCTTAGTGTCCCCCTGGATATCTACCTTCAAGAAGTGGACAAAAAGATGCAGTTTGTGGATCTGCACCTGGATCGTTCCCAGGGGGCAGTATTGCCCACTTTGGGAACCAGCAACTTGGACCAACTTTGAAATTATGTTCTACGCATCATGATCACTTTCTCATTTCTTTGAAAATCTGAATGTCCCAGTGCAGCTTTACAACATCAGTCATGTACATGTGTGTGATTTTTCTAATCTGGATACTCTGTGTGATTATTTTCGGCATTGAAATGTCTCCATTTGATCTTGACCTTGTTCCTACTAGGCCAGTTGAGATCAATGTTCCCTCTAAGCTGTGAAGTCTTGTGAGCAAAAATTCTACTTCATGAGCCACTGGCATTAAATTTGCGAGCATGAGCAAGCAAATTGGCTACTGCATAAATCAGTTTGCTCTGGAGCCACCCTTCCTGAGCGAAGACAGAAACGTGTGAGCCGGAGGCTAAAAAACTGTGAGCTAGCTCACACTAACTCAGCTTAAAGGGAACACTGGTTGAGATATCTGAGTTGGCTAGTTGGTGCAAAACACTGTTGATTTAGTTGTGGAAATACAGATGCTTCTGGTTTTTAGGAGTCTAGCAAGTAGACTGGCAGCTGATTCAGTCTGAGAGGATTCATCCAGGCATCAATATTAATCTTATCTCATGGCCCCTGTCCATGACATTATATTCATTTGAATTAATTAACAGAAGTCTGAATTAATGCTGATGCAATGGTACTAGAGAAAGGAAAGCTTTCTCTGCCATCATAACTGCTGCTACCTGATAGGTTTTCAAACAAGCTCTATGGTGTGCTATAACTGTCTCTTCACACATTATGGAGTATACTGGTTGGATCCAGGGTCCCCGCCCAGTGCTCTGGGTAACAGTCACATGTGACCAGCAGCTTCTGCTCAATTGTGACTATGGAACTCATGAAGTAGGGCCATCAGCTTCTCCTGTGCCATTTCTTCCAAATTACAGTTATCCCAGGGGTGCACTATTTGGCCTGGTGGTGGAACCCACATGTACATTTTTTTATATATATATTTCGATTTATAGCCCGCCCTCCCCACAAAAGCGGGCTCAGGGCGGGTCACAGACAGGCATACGCCCGCACATAAAAACATTTTAAAAACCATTTAAAACATTATACAACATTACAAAATTACATATATAAAGTGCTCCAGATGTTCCGCAAAGATGACAAACTTACTGCTGCTCTACTAGCTCAGTGTCCTCTGTTCCGGACAATGCCGGTGTTCTTTCTGCCAGGGCCAGGTAATGATGGTACCATAGTGGCGGCTCCTACTCAAACACCTGGCGGAAGAGCTCCGTCTTGCAGGCCCTGCGGAACTGCATTAGGTCCCGCAGGGCCCTGATCTCCTCCAGGAGCTCATTCCACCAGGTAGGAGCCGCCACCGAAAAAGCCCTGGCTCTGGTAATGGCCAGCCTGGCCTCCTTCGGGCCTGGTATTGCCAGGAGATGTTTCGGACCCGACCGTAGTGCCTGTGGGGGAACATATGGGGAAAGGCGGTCCCTTAGGTATGCTGGACCCCGACCATGTAGGGCTTTAAAGGTAAGAACCAGCACTTTGGAGCGAATCCGGTACGCTATTGGCAGCCAGTGCAGCGCTTTCAGCACAGGCTGGATGTGGTCCCTTCTAGGGGGTTTCCACAGCAAGCTAAATAGCACCCACCTGGAGAGTTTCAGGACAGGACAATAATGTGTGTTGGGGGAGAGGGAGGCTGAAACCCCTGCATCATGCACAATCCACATTAGGGACCTCAGAAGGCAGCACACATCATTTGTCAGTGAAACTCAAATTATCTTCCGGACTGTTTGGCTACCACCAATCTGAAGCCCAATCTGAAAAAGGGAGAGGATACCTGGAAACAGTCCTGTCTATTGTTTCCATAAGCCTGACATTCCAGGTCTGCACTAAGGCTTCAGAAAAATTACTATTAAAACTCTCAGAAATCCACCAGAGTGTCCTAGAAACCAAGCAGACTCTTTAATCCTCATGGATAGATAATCTTAGTCAGTCTACCACCCATGCAGAAAGAAAGCACCATAACCAGTCAGGCTTGAATGGATCATAATCTCATCAAGAAAGCGGTTTTAGTTCCAACCCTTTATTAGATCAACCAAAATGCTCTTGGTGCAGAAAATCAGACCCAGCATATGCCCTTTTTCATGTGTTGGGCCAGTCCCATGGTTGCTATGGAATAATGAATAATCACTGTGATTTATGGCTACTTTGTTTTATACATATGGTCCTCACATAGTACGTAGAAAGAAAAGTATTACAACTAATAATGTGATCCAGTATAACAAATTTAGAAAAGTTCCATCCTTGTGATATTGTAGAACAGCTTCTATAATAAGTTGTAACAAATGCAGGGCCGTAGCTAACCCCTTCCTTGTGGGGGGGCCCTGGGGAAAGGGAGGGGGCCTGGAGTGCGCGCCGCACACACACGCATCCCCACCTTACCTCTCATCCTCTGCTCCCTGGGGACCCCGCAGCAGGACCCCCTCGCCCGCGGAGCGCGGCGGCCACGCGGCTCCAGGCAGGACGGCAGGGTGAGCAGGCGGGCCGGGGAGGTGCAGGAGGAGCCGGGCAGGGT